CGATTCTGGGGGACTGGCACCTGTATGTTCTCTCAGGTGCGATTCTGATCAATATAGAGTGAAGTAGCCAGTTTACAACGCGGACGCCCACGATAAACGACAGACTGGTTCGAGGGATTGGGCGGGAAATTTGTCGGAGAACGGGATGGTTGTTCGGTCTGGAAATGAACCAGCTCGTTGTCAGTCTGGGTTGCGAAATCAAAACGCGCACCGACTGGAAACCCGGATTCTCGCTCAGATCGCCAGGCTTCGTCGTCGTGCTTCGAGACTTCGGTTCACCGAGAGCGACCGTGATCAAACCCTGAGAGCGACCAGTGGAGATGTCCCGAGAGCGAGGATTCAACAGCCCAAGCCTTGTCAAGTGAATTCCTGTCCAGCACGGGATCTAGTCAGGTTAGCCCAGCTTGGGCTCGTAGGGGATCGTGTGAACCCAAGGAAGCTCGAGTAGGAAAACACGTCAGCCATTGTACCCAGCTTCGACAAAGCCTAAACCCTAAACCCTAAGGGTCTCCACTGGGATTAACAAGCACGACGTGTACTACCTTCAAACAGCAGGTCAGCAAACGGGTGGTGCTGCGTGTTTTCAGAATCTCTATAGTAGACAAGAATGAGGAGCTGAGATTGTGAGATCCGTATATGAGTGACTTTCCTTGATCCCTTGCTATTTTAGATCTGGGGAAGGAGATCTGTTTTCATACTGTTACGATATGAAACTTTATGAGAAGGCATTCCTGTATGCTGCAGGAGCCGACTCTACCGAGTACGAAGTCGAGGAGTCAGAAGAGTCGAAGCGACGCAGCAACCGTCTGACCAAGACCGATGCTGGCAGAAACATTTGAAGTGAAATGAGCGGGAACAGGTTTGAAACGGGTTCCCGCGCCGCACGGTTTGAATTCGGTTGTAATAAGGGAATGTACCCCTTAGAGTACATGGCTAGTCTAGGTCTTTTCGTATTCCCCTGTATTCTTATATAAACTCGATGTATGCATGCTATTATCAACTCAGTCATTTACATTCACTCTGACCTGAGATTCAACCTTCCGCTGCAACACTACTCTGCGATCAACCCTGAGCGATCCTTCGCTAAGTCCCTATCAACCCTGAGCGATCCTTCGCTAAGTCCCTTTTGGGATTGTAACACATACCTTTCCTAGCAGTCTTAGCGGTCAATCCGTGAAGTTCAGATGGAGCGTCTCTCACACATTGATCGGCTTTCAGATGATCTTCTTACAAGGATCATATGGTTTCAGAAAGGCATGCCTAAACCCCAAGAAGTTTCTGATTCTTCATGGGTCTCGCTTCCTTCTTGGCATTTTAGGGCGAACAAGTTCACTTCTCCAGCCTTGGCAGATGCAGCTTTTAATCTGCTCATCGCGTCCGTATCTCGTCGCTGGCGTCACCTCGTTAAGCGTCAGGTCACCGGCTTGTCAGTGCATGAAAACCGTGTCATCTCTCGTGAAGACCTGGCGAACGCTGTGACTTGTTTCGACAACCTCACGAATCTTCACCTGAGCGACGAAAGTGTCGAGACTATTGACAACGCTTTTCTCGCTCGCCTTGCCTCCTCACTTCCCAAGCTGAAAGCTCTTCACGTGGGTCGCAGGATCGCACCGATTGAGTGTGGAGGAAGCAAGAATGAGCACCCAGTTACTGAAGCCGGCTTGGATATTCTTTTTTTGAAGTGTACTCAGCTGGAGGAGATTTCGCTTCACTGTCTGCATAAAGATACTGAGCTGCCGGATTCTTTCTTTCAGCTGCAGTATCTCCACACGGTTCTACTAACTGACGTTTCAGCCTTGACAATTCCCAGATTCGCATCGCTATCGTCTCTCACTGCTCTCCACATTGCTGCTTCGAAATTGACACATCAGCAACTATCAAGCCTCGCTTGCATCCCAAGACTCTCCATACTTTCGATCTCCAGTGAAATCTGCCTTCCCAAAAATTATTCACCATCTGCAACTTTTCCAGCTGCTCAGCTTCCTTATCTGAAGTCGCTCGAGTTCCTAGTCGCCAGTCCGAAGTTCGATTTTATGTTTCCTACACGATCACAGTGCATTCATCTGGAACATCTGGTGCTCACCGCATCCGCTAACCTCCAGCGCCTTCCTAATGACTTCGGAGATCTGTTGCCGTGCCTCCGTGAGCTGACCATTAGGAATTGTTATGAGCTCAACCAAATCCCTAAAAGTATCACTTCCCTAAGTGCATTAGAGCGCTTATCCATTCTTAACTGCCCCCAGCTCCATAGCCTATCCAACGACTTTGGAGAGCTTCCTGCCCTCAAGTCACTGATGCTGCACAGCCTGTCTCGTTTCAACCCGCCTGAAACCCTTTGCCAAGCTAATTCCCTGGAGACGCTGTCCCTGCATTACTGTGGCGAGATGCAGCTGCCAGCTGACTTCTGCAGTCAGACACATGGAGCTTCCAGATAGGATTGGATGCCTCAGTAACCTCGAGACTCTACAGCTACATAGATGCATGCAGGAGCAGCCGCCTCCTTCATTCACGCAGCTGATTTTTCTAACAAGTTTTGAGCTTAACTATTGCTCAGTTGTCAAGCTTCCTGAGGGTTTGCAGAATCTCAGTAAGCTGCAGCATCTCCGCATTCGGAACTGTTCCGCTCTCACCGAGATATCGGAGTCTGTTACAGGGCTGACAAGGCTCGCTGCCTTGATCATTGGATCGTGCGAACAGCTTTCTGTGCTACCAAGAAGGCTGAGTAGCCTTGTGGAGCTGAAGAGGTTGGAGGTAACATGGTGTCCACAACTTTGTGAGTTTCCTGTTTCACTTCCCCTTTCCCTTGAGGTCCTGATTTGGGACAACAATAAGCAGGCAACCTTCCAGCCTCGGATTTCCCTGCCGCCTCGTCTAAGACACTTGAAGCTGAGGTTGCCAGACAGCATCAATGAGTTTCCTCTTCCCTTGAGCCCACTTTCTCAGCTCCAAGTCTTAGATATCTGTCATGGTGAAATGATTCGGAAGCTTCCAGGAAGCATTGGCTCGGCATTGCAGCAGCTGCGGGATTTGCAGATATGCCACTTTGAGGAGCTTCGGGAGCTGCCAGAAACAATCTCACAGCTCCAACACCTGACATCGCTGAAGGTCCTTGCACCCAAGCTGGCCTCAATTCCCGATGGCATCGGTGCATTATCTAGGTTGCGCAAGCTGGAACTGTCAGACTGCAAGGCCCTGCAGCAGCTACCATCATCGCTCACACAGCTTCGCTGCCTCTCTGTGCTGGAACTGAACAATACTTCCATCAGCTTCCTTCCTCCCAGGTTTTCACAGCTGAGCCGGCTGAGGACACTCGGTCTCTCTGGCTGTGAGAAATTGAAGGCCTTGCCAGAGGATTTGACAGAGCTGAAGCTGCTGCAATACTTGAATTGTGAAGGGTGCACGCAGGCAGTCAATGGCATGTCCCGTGCATTGCGCCGTGGCATGCGAGACATGCATGGGCTGACCTTCGTTAAACATTAGCATTGAGTATAGACTTTGTCGTGGTGGTGTTCTATTTCTTCTACCGTATGTAGACATGTTCCCTTTTTGTGTAGTGAATACTTTCATAGTCCCAGTTCTTGGGTTACCGGTAACTCTCTGTCCCTCTGTTCTGTCAAGACTTGCTTCGCTCTTTTGAATGTACTGGTACAACCATCTTTTGAATGTATGCCAAGTGTACGCATGACATGCGGCTTGCTGGGCAGTGATCACCTTTCTTGTTTTCAAATTTCAATGGTTGTGAACAGGATGACTGTCTTGGTACTGTAGCAGGAACCATAGGCTTGAATTTGAGAGCATGCATGTTGCTGGTCATGTATGCATTGACATGTGCTGATGGTTACGCATGCACCGCCATGTGCCGAGGTTCATATACGGATCACCATGTGCTGGTAATGATCATGCTGCATGGTGCAGCAGCCATCAGGATGGGCCAACTGCTGCTGGAATGGAAATGAGTGTTGTGAGGTGTAGGACTGAAAGGGACGGAAATGGAAGATGAGACACAGGGTGATACAGTTGGCTCACATAATTCTTACCAGTAAGATTATATAATTGTGTTATTAGGGCGTGGTTGCAAGAGTGCTATCAGCTCCTGCTGGCTGCTATGCTGTGCCATGTTGTGTCCCCCCTCACCCACCTGTCCAGGGATGTTGTGCAGGTGAGTTCTCAGCGCAGCTCAGTGGGTAAGCAAGTTTTTTTAGTTCCGGCACCTCCTGCTTCCTGCCTGCTCTGCCCTGCTCTGCTATGCTCTGCCATGTTCGTGTCACCCCCTACCCACCAGTCCAAGGATGGTGTGTGTGTGGTGACCCAGCACAGGTACGAAATGCATGAGATGGGGGTGCATAAGATGGGGATGCATGAGATGGGGATGCATGATAGTTAAAATGCATGAGATGGGGATGCATGATGGGAATGCATCATATGTGGATGCATTAGATGAAAACGCAACAATATTCTCACCTCCCGTATGGGTCTCCTGGCTGCTCTGCTCTCTGTTCTGCATTGCTGCGTTGTGTCTCCCCTTCCCTGCCTGCCAAAAGGCTGCAGTGGGACCTTCACATCATCACATGGCCCTTCCTGAAAAGCATACCGTTTTTCACAGGTTCGCTGCTCCCCGTCCCTTCCTCTCCCGTGCTGCCTCCTTCCGTCTTTCCCAGTTTTCCCCATTCACCTGCGTTCTTACTCGGCCTGCTCTGGTTTGCCTTCTTCCTTCATGCCAATTCAGGCTGTAGCCTGCCAATTCAGGCTTTAGCCTGCACAGCAGAGTGCCATTCAGAGACTCGCTCCTTTCCCCCTCCTCTCCTCTCGTAGGCTGCCCCTCTCTTTCTTTCGGGCAGTAGCATGAGCGGCAGGCTTACCCGATTGGCGGCTACCAACGTCGGCAGCTACCCCCTTCCTCTCCCTGGCTGCCCCTTCTCTCCCACCCTCTTTCCTTTAGGCAGTAGCACGAGCGATAGGCTCACCCAACTGGCACCTGCCAGGGTCGCCCTGCCTCATTCTCACTCACCCCCCCCAACACCCCCTCCTCCCTTCTCCCCTGCCCCTCGCCCCTTCTCTCCCACCCTCTTTCCTTCAGGCAGTAGCACGAAGGATAGGCTCACCCAACTGGCACCTACCAGTGTCTCCTTGCCTCACTCTCATTCCCAACACCCCCTCCTCCCTTATTCTCTCCGCCTCCCCCCTCCCCCCATTTCCCCCAAGTGGTGAGTATACCCAACTGGCACCTGCCAACGTCACCGCCCTCTCACATTTCCAACACCCCCTCCTCCCTCCCTTCTTCTCTCCCCCTCCGCCCCTTGCCCCACTCCCCCAAGTGGTGCGCACACCCAACTGGGACCAAGCAGAATCGCCCTGCCTTAGCAGCAGGTGGCGTTTGCAGTAGAAGCCACATCAGATGTTCTGTTGCTGGTGGGGAAGAGATGATGAGTTGAGGGCTTTTGAGAATTCTGGAGAGAGCAGACGAGGTGTGAGGAAGGAGGTGGGATTGTCAAACGAAAGAACAGGGCTCATCATGCCTCATCGTGCCTCATCGTGCCTCATCATGCTCTTTTTCACATTCTGAATTATTGTTTCCAGCTCCTCCTTTCAGTTATCCTTGCAGCTTATGGGCAGATATTGCAAGCAGTGGAAGCAATAAGAGAGAGTCACGCATGACAAGGTTAATTTCTCCATGACTCTCTCTTATAGTGTTATCTCTGCTTCTTGCTTCCTATCCCTGATAATCTTGCATGGTTATTCTACTTTCCCAGTGAAACTCTCTCAATCTCTCTGCTCCTTGCATCCTATCATCCCAAGAGACAAAATGAGGTGCATCTGGTGCATTCATTCTGATCTCTCACCGCTTTCCCCAACCTTATTCCTCCCAAAAACACCATCTCTTCCTCTCAGGTCCGCTGCTTGCTTCCACTCACCCCTAGAGACATTACAAGAGTTCGAATGTTCCATCCCACCTCACTCCCCTCTTCCTCTCCCCTCTCCACTGCCACCTCAATGATCCCAGTTGCTGCCTCACTGCTTTAAGTGTGTGAGTGAGTGGGGTTAGTGAGTGAGTGAGTGAGTGAGTGGGTGAGTGCGGTGGGTGAGTGAGTGGGGTGAGTGGGTGAGTGGGGTGATTGGGGTGAGTGGGAAAGTGGGGTGAGTGGGTGTGTGAGTGGGTAATTGGGGTGGGTGGGGTGAGTGGGATGAGTGGGTGAGTGGGGTGAGTGGGATGAGTGGGTGAGTGGGGTGAGTGGGATGAGTGGGTGAGTGGGGTGAGTGGGATGAGTGGGTGAGTGGGGTGAGTGGGATGAGTGGGTGAGTGGGGTGAGTGGGATGTGGGTGAGTGGGGTGAGTGGGATGAGTGGGTGAGTGGGGTGAGTGGGGTGAGTGGGGTGAGTGGGATGAGTGGGTGAGTGGGGTGAGTGGGGTGAGTGGGGTGAGTGGGGTGAGTGGGGTGAGCGGGTGAGTGGGATGAGTGGGTGGGTGGGTTGAGTGGGATGAGTGGGTGAGTGGGGTGAGTGGGGTGAGAGGGTGAGTGGGGTGAGTGGGGTGAGCGGGGTGAGTGGGGTGAGAGGGTGAGTGGGATGAGTGGGTGAGTGGGGTGAGTGGGGTGAGAGGGTGAGTGGGGTGAGTGGGTTGAGTGGGTGAATGGGCTGTGTGGGTGAGTGGGCCGTGTGGGTGAGTGGGGTGAGTGTGCTGTGTGGGTTGGTGCCCCAAGGCCTGGCGAACTCATACTGGCGTTTGGAGTTGAAGGCCCAGCAAATGAGCTGCTGAGACGTGGAGAGAGAGGAATGAGGGTGCGAGAAGGAGCACGTTGCAACAGACTTCCGTTTGGAGTTGAGGCCACAGCGAATGTGCTGCTGAGTGGTGGGATGGTGGGAAGGGATATGCATGTATGTGCGAAGCATTCAATGAGAGAGTGGGAAGGGATGGTGAGTCGGGGGAGGCAACATGAGTGATGCACATAGATTGAGCAAGAGAGTGTTTGGAGGGGAAGAGAAGCAGAAGGTTAAAGCGGACTGGCGTTTGGAGATGAATCCACCAGCTGATGCGCTGCTGCTGGTGGAGCAAGCGGAAGCGATGCTGAGTGGGGATGGGAGATGGTGAGTGGAGAGAGAGTAGGAAAGAGAAGTCAATTATGTACTGGATATCATAGGGATTTTGTTTTTTACCAAAAAGAGTTCTGATATCAGCCCGTTCAGCTTGTCCCTAATGATTTTGATTTATGCTCACAGTGTTATCATACTCATTGTGCGAGTCTTCATGATCCGTGTTTTTTTCTTCTTCTTTGTTACTCCGATTAATCATCCTCGCGCTACCCTGTACTCACTTCCTCCCCGGTCCGTTCCTTGCTTCCCCTTACCCCAAGAGTCAACACGAGGGTGCGACAGTTCCATCCCACCTCACCCCCTCACACCTCGCCATCACCACCTAAAGTATCTCAGCTGCTGCCTCACTGCTACAATTCCTTCATAGGCAGCCCCCCAAGGCTGCTCTATGTGCTCTACGACAGGTGGAATCACAGTGCTTGTAGCAGGTGGGGATACAGCAGGCAAGCGCCAAAGGGGGTATGGCGGCCACTGACTCTCACTCGTTGGGTTGCAAGGACTTCAATAGTGGCAGCCAGGGCAGTCGTGATCAGATTGGTTGGGCAGTAACATTTTCAGTGACTATATTGTATTTTCATGTAAATTCCATACAATTGCTTTAGGAAAAAAAACTCAAAATCCTCATTTTTTATCATTAAGATGTGCTTGCATTACCAGCCTTTGGCTGAAGCATGGATGCTCATGAATGAAGAAATTCCTTCACCACATGCAAGGAATGATATATTTTGTTTTTACGGGAATTAAACGTCTGGTTCAAGAAAACCAGAGTGCTCAATAGCGAGTCTCATTTCTGAATTCTAGATGGGAATCCTCGAACTCCCTCGTGAGTCCCTCACAGCGCTTTTCCCTCCTCGCTCCAGACTAGGGAACCTACACCCATTCAATCAGCAGCGGGTTGCCAGCGCAAGACTCGCACCAACGTGAAATCTTGATTCTCGAGCAGATCGCGCGACTCCGTCGAAGTGCTTCGAGACTTGTTCAGTTCACCAGAGCCTACATGTCAAGCGTTGTCCTGCGAATGACAGCAACATATCCTAGGAGCGAAAGTTCCAGTAGCCCCGGTCTTGTCAAGTGAGTGTGTGTCCAGCTCGAAATCCAGTCTGATTAGCCCAGCATAGCCTCTCTGAAGATCCCTAAGATGCGCTGGTGTTTGCTGATTCGTTAGGTTTAGGCATGGTGGAACTCGAAAGCAGGGAAAACACGTCAGCCATTTGACACGGTGTAGGGATCCTCATTGAGATTGGCAACTCCTCCTGCAACGCAAGCACGGCGTGTAACTTCGTCACTCGCCTTACCTCCAACCCGCAGGTCAGCGTTGGTCGTGATCCGTGTCTCTAGAATATCGTGAGAAGATTAAGAGCTGAAATCCGTATGTAAGCGACTTTATTAGTCCTAGGTCATTTAACTCTAGATAACAATATCTCTTTTCATACCTTAGATAGTAGTTCTTGCGGGCTATCCCTGGGAGTTTAAATGGAGCGTCTCTCACACATCGATCGCCTTTCAGATGATCTTCTTGCGAAAATTCTGTGGTTCCAGGGTGGAATCATGCCTGTCCAAACTGGTACTAACTCTTCACGGGACTCGCTTCCCGATTGGCGCTCTAGCGAGATTAAATCCACTCCTCCAGACTTCGCAGATGGAGCAGCCAATCTGCTTATCGCGTCCGTATGCCGTCGCTGGCGTCATCTCGTTAAGCGTCAGATCACTAGTCTCTCTGTCCAAGAAAACCGTTTCGTATCTCGTCACGATCTGAGGAACGCAATGGCGTTGTTTGACAACTTAACGAATCTTCACCTGAGCGACGGAAGTCTCGAGGTCATTGATAACGATTTCCTCGCTCACCTTGCTTCCTCCAGGCCTACGTTGAAATCTCTTCACGTGGGTCGCAGGATCACACCGACGAAATTTGGAGGGAACAAGGCTAAGCACCCGATTACTGATGCTGGCCTGGTGAAATTCTTCCTGAACTGCACACAGCTTGAGGCGATTTCGCTTCACTGCCTCCATATAGACGCTTATTTACCAAAAACCTTCTTCCAACTGCAGCATCTTAACACAGTTATAATATCAAATCTTCCTGCCTTGGCGCTCTCCAAATTCTCAAGTCTTTCGTCTCTCACTTCACTTCATATTGGGGTCAGGAATCCTGCATATCAGCAACTGTCAGACCTAGCTCGCATCTCAAGTCTCTCCAAACTCTCAATCGTCGCCGGAACCTCCTTTTTCAAGAATGTTCCACCAACTTTCAAAGCTGCTCATCTACCTTATCTCAAAACACTCGAGTTCCAGGTTTGCAGTCCCAACTTCTCTTCAATGTTCCCTACAGAATCACCGTGCATCCGTCTAGAACATCTGGTAATCACTAGATCCGCCAACCTCCACCGCCTTCCTGATGACATCGACGACCTATTGCCGTGCCTGCGCGAGCTGACCATTCGGCATTGCTCTCACCTGAACCAACTTCCTGAGAGCATCACTTCTCTAACTGCATTGGAGTGTTTGTCCATCATTGAGTGCTCTCGGTTTCACAGCCTGCCCAAGGACATTGGACAGCTGCCTTCTCTCAAGTCACTGATGATGGAGAGCATCCCTCTCGTGGAGCTGCCTGACTCCCTCTGGCAGGTTACATCACTGGAGAGGCTAGTGCTGCATCTCTGCGGCTCTACAATCAGCGAGCTGCCAGCAGAATTCTGCAACCTCATATCTCTCAAGACATTAAGCCTGAAATCCTCTTTCCAGATGGCGCTTCTAGAGAGGTTTGGATTGCTCAGCAACCTCGAGTCTCTTCACATGCGTGATTGCACGCTGCATCGGCTACCCACTTCATTCTCGCAGCTGATTTCTCTCACAAGTCTTGAGATCGCCTTCTGCGCAGTTACAGTGCTTCCGGAGGGTCTGGAGAATCTGAGAAACCTGCAGCATTTCTGCATCCGTCACTGTCGAGCTGTTAAGAAGATTCCAGAGTCTCTTGCAGGGCTCACAAGCCTTGAAACCCTGATCGTAGAGGGCTGTATAGCGCTCTCTTCAATGCCAATAAGGCTGAGTGGCCTTGGGAAGCTCCAGCGGTTGGAGGTAACTGGGTGCGAACGGTTGCGTGGGCTTCCTGTGTCGCTGCCACTCTCCCTTGAGGTCCTGCTATGGAAGCAGAACAGTCACATTGGTTTCCTGCCTGAGGTTTCCTTGCCATCTCGCCTGAGGCACTTGGAGCTGGATTTGGTTGACAGCATTGCGCAGGTCCCACCCACCTTGGGTTCAGATTCTGAGCTCCAAGCCTGGAGTATTCGGCGTGCTGGAATGCTTCAGCATGGTACAAGGATCAAGGCCTTCCCACAAATCATCAAGGTGCCATTCCAGCAGCTGCGGCAACTGCACCTCTTTTGCGTCAAGGAGCTTAATGAGCTACCGGAAACCGTTTCACAGCTGCAACAACTGACGTCATTAAAGGTTTATGCGCCCAAGCTGGTCTCTATCCCTGATGGCATCGGGGCATTATCCAGGCTGCGTGAGCTGGATTTGTCAGAGTGTACAGCCCTGCAGCAGCTACCACCTTCCTTGACCCAGCTACAATGCCTCAACCTGCTCAGACTTGACCATACTTCCATCAGCTTCCTTCCTCCCAGGTTTTCTCAGCTGACCAGGCTGAGGACACTCAGCCTCACTCACTGTGAGCTATTGGAGGAGCTGCCAGGTGATTTGACAGAGCTGAAGCTGCTGCAGCAGCTGGATATTCGAGGGTCCAAGGAAGCCATTGATCGCATGCCCCGTGCATTGCGCTTAGACATTCGAAACATGTATGGGCTGACCTTCATATCTTAGACTGGCAGCAATTTAGTGTGGCAATTTAGCATTGCACTGCATTGGTTCATGTAGACCTGCCTTTTGTTGCGTAATTCTGCTGTGTAAGCTGTTTTATGATTTTTTTGATATAGAAGGGCCATGTCACATGGCACATGATCCCATGGTGTTGACAACCATGGTCAGCACGTGCAAATGCGCGCATGCATGGGTTGTGTATTGATGGTCAAATATGGCTGGCAATGTAAGGATGGTTTGAATGGTCTTTCATGAATGCATCCGTACGGGCAAGTGGTCATGCGTGCATTACCATGGGTGATGATGATCTTGCGTGCATTGCCATCGGCTGAGGATAATGAATAAATGGCCATGTGAGCATTTTCATGTGGCATGTATGCATTGCGATGTGCTGCTGCGCAGCATCGTCCATGCATGCATAACAATGATCAGGCTGGGCTGGTTGCTGCTGGATTGGGAAGGGGTGGGGGTAGAGATGAAAGGGGCGGAAATATAAGATATCAGACAAGGGGTCATTACATTTGGTTCATATTCTTATTTCGCCTTGTAAAGTTTATTTCTGTTATGCTTGTTTTATTATTAGGATTGCAGGAGTGCTATCAGCTCCTGCTGGCTGCTTGCCATTCGCGTTCCCCCTCATCCCCCCGTCCAAGGTTACTGTGCTGGTGAGTGGTCAGTGCAGCTCAGTGGGTAAGAAAGGCATGAGATGGGGATGGATGAGATGGGGATGCATGAGATGGGGATGCATGAGATGGGGATGCATGAGATGGGGATGCATGAGATGGGGATGCATGAGATGGGGATGCATGAGATGGGGATGCATGAGATGGGGATGCATGAGATGGGGATGCATGATATGGGGATGCATGATATGGGGATGCATGTGATGGGGGTGCATGAGATGGGGATGCATGAGATTGCATTGCAACAGTGCCCTCACCTCCCGTATGGGCCTCCTGGCTGCTCTGCTTTCCGCACTGCCTTGCCTCCGTGTTGTGTCTCCCCTTGCCCACCTGCCCAAAGCAGCATTGGGACCTGGCAGCATGGCCCTGGTGTTTGGGGTGGAAGCGACAGGAAGAACGCTGATGCTGGTCGAGAGGACTGAAGAGATGGTGAGTGCTGGGGTGGAAATCTGGATAATTAAAAAAACGAGCTGTCTATCATCACTTTCAATAGTGCTGTAAATCATGCTAATTTGCAGCCGCAATTTCATACTCATCATGCTCATCATCCTCAATAAGCAAAATCATTATTTTCCAACTCATCCTGTCAATTATCGTTATGCGTCTCCAAATTCTCTCCCTCCCAGGTCTCATTAGGGTCCCCTCACGCGTCCTCTTTCAGATCATACTTACTATCCCCTCTTTGTCCCGTCTCTTCCTCCCAGGTCCGCTCCTTGCTTCCCTTCACCCCAATAGACAACATGAGGGTATGCCTATTCCATCCCACCTAGCTCCTTGCTTCCTCTCACCCCGCCTGCGCATATTTTTTGTCGCAAGCAAAGCTGAGAGCACGCCTGTTCCATCCCACCTCGCTCCCCTGTCACTACCCCTTTCCCCCTCTCCACTGCCACCACAAAGATCCCAGCTGCTGCCCCACCACTTGAATCACCACTTTAAGGTAGCGCGTGGTAAACACGCCCTCATCAGCGAGAAATCACTCCATAACCTGCCAACGGGTGCAATCTCAACGTCCCAGGGTGCCCTCTTTGTTCTTCTGTAGGTTGACTGGCAGGGCTTGCAGCAAGCAGGGGGGTAGCATGCGTAGCAGGCGCGGGGGAGGCGCTGGCACGGGGCAGCAACACATATAAACCCCCCCTGGCAGCTCAGCCCCCCAGGATGGCCTCTCTGCTCCTCTGAAAATGGTCGGACGCACAGTGCTTGCAGCAGGCTCAGGGGACATGCGGGCAGCAGGCAGCAGCACAGGTCAAACCCCTAGGGAACTTTGGCCTTCAGGATGCCCTCTGTGCTCTTCTGGGAGTGGACGGAATCACATTGCTTGCAGCAGGAAGGGGCACAGAATGCAGTGCAGGCACAGCTTGCAAAGCACGCACAGTGCTCTCAGCAAGCAGGGGCAAGCTTATTCCCTGGAGGGTCAACCCCAGTGCTCTCTATGCTACACTAGAGGTGGAGACAAATTACTTGCAACTGGCAACTATCAGGCTGAAATACCTGGTCCACAAGGCCTTCAAGTATAGTTGCCTGCTGCCTCTATGTATAAACATGTATACTCTGCACAGGAAACATGTTCTGCATTGCTTTATTTTTGCTTGTCGATAACTAAACCCTCAGTATTTTGTTTCATTTGGGTATCGTTGGCGCCAACTGGATTCTATGTAACACAGGTTCTGTGTGAGACGGGTTAGCACAGTAACGAGTATGATCCCTCTTGAAGATTCAGAACTCGAACGGTCGCTTTCGCTGTCTTCACCACAAACAACTCATCGAGGACGACTGTCACTGGTCTGGTGCAACTAGGACTCTAGATTCCAGAGGCTTATCCAGTCGACTATGAAACTCCTCTTGTGTTTATGTATCAGCGCGGATACCGATTACTTGCAATAAGAAGCCGTGCGATAAGAAACCGTGCGATAAGAAACCGTGCGATAAGAAACCGTGCGATAAGAAACCGTGCGATAAGAAGCCGTAGACTGCAAGTACTGCAACCAGCCACGTGTCAGCTGAGTACGACGTATACTAAAGTTAAAGCGAGCGTATACTACAGTACACTCGCTTTAAGTAGTTCCGTATTGAGGTACTAGACTACACAGCTGCGTGTTTCGAGCAGCCATGGCGCATCTTCTGAGCGAGTTAGATCGCTTCGAAGAGGAGATGCGCGCACTCGGCGCGGAATCCGCTTCCGCGAAGGCCGCTCCGCCTCCCGCGCACCTCATCGCGCAAGTGCCCCTTCCGCCCGCTCCGCCGCTCCCCGCTAAAGGCGCACCTCCCGTTTCCCCCGCTCCGCCTCCCCCTCGCCCGCCTCCGCCGATCCCCCCAGGCGCTTCTCCCGCACGGCCCCCCATTTCCCCTTTGCCCGCCCCACCAGTTCCGCCTCCTTCCGCCTACTCCCCCGCGCCTCGTCCGCTTCCGCCACACGCCCTTCCCCCTCCACCTTCCGCCTTCCCCCCAACTCCGCCTTACCGCCCCGGCGGTTCTTGGTCACAGTCTCCCGCCGCCACTCCCCCTGCTGCGCATGTTCCGCCGTCCCCCCCTCTCCCCCCGCCAGCGTCAGGCTCAACCCCCCCGTTTCCGCGCTTCCAAGCACCTCCGCGACCATCGTTTCCGCCCTTTCCCCCGCCTGTACACGCAGTTCCGCCTTTTAACAGCGGCGGGGGGGGAACTGCTCAATTTCCTCCCCTCCCGCCTTCCGCGCCCGCCCCTGCGCTTCCCCCTACGCGGAAAGTATACGCCGCTGCGCCTGTGAAAGTAACCAAGAAAGAAGACGCGGGGAAGGAAGGGGCAGCGGGGGAGGTGGAGAAAGGGTTGGGGGGAAACGAGGGGGAACAGCAGGCGGAAAAAACAGCCGTATCTGCAGCAGGCAAAATTACTCCGCCAATCCCCCCGCCCCCTCCTCCTGCCCCTGCTCCCACCGCCTCCGCTTCCCCAGCAGCACCAACACCATCACCACCCCCACCACAACGGTCAGCAGCAGCAGCAGGGCCTTCAGGGGGATACGGGGGGGGCTCTGCGCATGGGGGCGGGGCTGCAGGCATGGCGCAATACGGAGGGGGAGGGGGGTTCCCCCCAGGGGCAGGGTTCGGGGGAATGGGCGGATACGGGGGCATGGGCGGGGGAATGGGGGGAATGGGTGGGGGAGGGTATGGAGCAGCGGCAGGGGGGTATGGAGCAGGAGGAGCAGGGTTTGGAGCAGGTGGAGCGGGGTATGGAGCGGTAGGAGGGCAGTATGGGGTGGGGAGCAGCAACGGCCAAGGGACAACGCTCTCTGAGTTTCTGGTGAGCCATCATCCACCCTCCTTCCTTAGTGCTGTCAAAAACAGGAAACGCTTTCCCCAATTCTTTCAGGAAACGCTTAGTGAACCGATCATCTCCCCCCCCCACATCCTTCCCCGCCCTTTCCCTAACCAAGTAATCCATCGCCTGGCATACCCTCCGTTTGCCTCTTCCCTGCCATTCCTGCGTTCCCAACTTGGGGGCCACCGTTCCCCCCCTGCCCCCCCACCCCATCACCCCCCTGCCCTCCCCATTACCCCCCTGCCCCCTCCCATTTTTCCTGTATCAGGCCAACCCTAACGCAGCAAGAGCTTCAGGGAAACCCATCAACTCACAGGTGAGAGGACTTGACAGCGAGCTTGGACTGTTCTGCTTGAGAGTCACCTTGTTGCCATGTTGCTTACATGCGCAATGACTTTTGAGTCGACTCAAAAGTCAACCCATGTTGCATACATGCACAATGCCAGAACTTTTGCGGAAAAGGATGAAGCAATGATCCATCCGCCAGCTCACACTCCCCCTCTCTTCCCCTCCCTCCCCTGCCCCATGCCCCCCTCCCCCTTTCCCCGCCCCTTCCCCCTTCCCCCTCCTTTCCCCCGTTCCTCCTAGCAGAGAAGCAGCTGTTTCAAAGTAATCCAGCATTATCCATCCGCCAGCTCACTCACACTCCCCCTCTCTTCCACGCCCCCGCCCCACTTCTCCCTCCCTACCTTCCCCCTCCCTTTCCCCCGGCTCCCGCCTCCCCCATTCCCCCTGGCAGGCGGAGCTATCCCGAAGGGATGCAGCCATGATCAACCCGGCAACTCCTTAAACCCCTTGGCTCCTTTTGGCACCAACCTTTCCTCCACCCTCCCCCCTACTCCCCCCTGGCAGGCGGAGCAGCTTTTCCCAAGGGATGCAGCCACGATCAACCAGGCAGCTCACACTCCCGCGCTCTTCCCCGCCCCCGCCCCATGCCCCGATTCCCCTCTTCCGCCTCCCTCCCCCATTCCCCCTGGCAGGCAGAGCAGCTGTTTCAAAGGGATGCAGCCATGATCCACCCAGCAGCTCCTTAAGCCCCTTGGTTACCCATTTCCTTCTTGCACCTCCTCCTTTTTTCCCCTTCTTTTTTCCCCCAATGCAGGCGGAGCAGCTATTCCAGAGGGATGCAGCGATGATCAACCCGGCAGCGCTCGAAGGAGTTAAAGCTGCCCTGGCCAGTAACGTGCCGCTGGGCATGGCCGGGCAGGCTGCCGGGCAGCAAAAGAAAAAGCGGCCGGTGCCGAGAACAGCAGCCGGGCAGAAGTGGGAAGATCCGACTCTTACGGAATGGCCTGAGAGTGAGTTGGTCCAATACCCCCCGTATTCCGCACGAACCGTATCATATACCCCCGTATCCCCACAGCCGCATACCCTCTTTCCCCATATTCCCATGCCCCAAAATTTTCATATCCACAAAGCCCCATACCCATTATGCCTGTGCCGCAATGCAATACCCCCATATTATACCACCATAACCCCATGGGTTTCCATGCCGTCATGCCCCCATACATACTCATGCACCCCAATGCCCCGTGCCGTTTCCTCATACGCCCAGACCCCATGCCATCATACCCCATGCCTTATGCCTACTACCTCTGCACTCATTTCCCACGCCTTTCTACCCCATCCATACCCATGCACACCCACATGACCGTCGGCTGTTCTGTTCTGTGGTGATTGATCTAGGCAACGAGGTGAACAATGACTTGTTGGCCAAGACATACCCCTCTATGCTCCCCTACCCCGATACCCCCCGTGCCTTTATACCCATGCACACCCACATGACCGTCGGCTGTTCTGTTCTGTGGTGATTGATCTAGGCAACGAGGTGAACAATGACTTGTTGGCCAAGACATACCCCTCTATGCTCCCCTACCCCGATACCCCCCGTGCCTTTATACCCATGCACACCCACATGACCGTCGGCTGTTCTGTTCTGTGGTGATTGATCTAGGCAACGAGGTGAACAATGACGATGCAGACTCCCACAACATGTGACGATGACAATGACAATGACTCCCGCAACGAGGTGAACAATGACGATGACGATGTGAACAACATTCCCCCACACTCATCCCCATTCCCATGCAGACGATCATCGGCTGTTCTGCGGTGAAAGACTATGTGCTGTCCAAGGCGTACGCCTCATACCAGCTATACCACATCCTGTACTTGTAACTGTACCAACTATCCCCATTCCCATGCAGACGATCATCGGCTGTTCTGTGGCGATCTGAGCAACGAGGTGAACGACAATGTGCTGGCCAGAGCGTTTCCTCACACACCCCCATACTCTCTGATTATAACCCCTTATATCCCATCCTTTACACCCAGATGACCGTTGGCTGTTCTGTGGTGATCTGAGCAACGAGGTGAACGACAATGTGCTGGCTAAGGCATCACCCCATGACCCCCCATACCCTTCAGTACCACGTAACCCATTCCTCCAAGTCCCATACCCATCCGCATGCCCACCCAGACG